AGCCTAGCCTTAAAAGTAGACAGGGTGTCTGCCTTAAGCAATTGTTCTGGTTCAGATATACTAATATTACATTTCTAAGCCACAACAAACTAAGTTTCACCTAATTAATTAAATAAAAACAAAAATCTAAACAGGGTAAATAGATAAGTTTATAAGATTAACTTAAATTTTGGCATTCATTTCAAACAAGCGTCTGAAAAGTGTTTCCTTTTCAAGTATTCACATTTAAAAATAAATTATTCAATTTTAGAGTCATTCATCATTTTAGTGGAGCTGTAAGGTGAGGCAGATAAAGCAACCTGAGGGGCAGAGGGAGAAGCTGTGAGAAGGTGAACTCTAGTGCAGGACGCTAGCAGTTAGGTCTTGATATCTCGTTCAGAAAACGCCCATTTTATTGAAGTTTAAATATAGAAAATGTGTTAGATCTCAGCCATCCAGCTCAATAAAAGCCCCTCATGGCTGTAATCAGCATTCACAGCCTTAGCAGTTCCTCCCTTCTACTCCTTTGAAAGCAAATTTAATTTCCTGCTCTGTATTTCAAAGCTTTCCATAAGTGGCGCCCTCTTTTTATTTCATTTTCAACCTCTTGACACAATCTCTAATTCAAACATGTGTTCACCCCACCGGAGGCTCTGGTGACTTGTCAGGGAGAGTTTGTTAAAGCGTTTCATTTGAAAGTTCTCCAGTATGGAGGAGAGGTGGGAATTAATAAACCCTCCCCAACGAGGAGAAGCATGTTATCTTGGTTTAAGAAAATTGCTGGAGATGTGAGGCCAGGAAGGGTTTTTTCTTCCCCCCAGCTTGTGATCAACGCTGCCATCTGGTGGTGTTTGAGGGTTTTTCAGGATTGAGAATTGTTTTAATCCCTCTTTTTGTCTCTTTTCAGTTGAGAACATTGCACATTGTGAGTTCGCCTACCTGCGGGATCTCCTCATCAGGTGGGAATCCGTCTCAGCTAAGATTTTAACAAATCCTTTTTCAGGGTTTACATCTCCAGGCAGGTCGGCCATTGTGGCTTATTCTGCAGCTGGGCTAAATTAATTGTAAGCTCTGCTGAATCGATAAAGCTTTACTTCCCAGAAAAAAATCAATAGAAATTACATTTTCTAGAATGGGTTGAGTGTTTGCTAATATAGAGCTACATCTCAGGGTTTGTTCATGAATCTGTTATCTCAGGTTCCTGTCTGCTGCATTTAGAGGGATGTGATTGACTGAGCGCCGTTACCATGAACTCATAGTCAGCAAGAACCTTTATTCTATTGTGGCTTTAATAAAGTATTTCAGTTTGTTTTTTTTTAGGTTGAGTTGAGTTGTTAAAAAAATGTATTTAAAGCTACAAATTTCAGCAGAAATTTTTAATTTAAACCAAAATATGGGCAGTGGGTAGAACTGCTGCTTTGCAGCAAGAAGGTTCCGGGTTTGATTCCCGGCCCGGGGTC